TCTTGGCTCCCCTTAAATTTCCCAGCCTCGAAGGAAGAGCCCTCCATGCTCCAGCCCCAGCAAAAACGCACAGGGAAAAGATTTTAATATTTTATCAGACTGTCAGGGACCGTCCGTAGAGTCTTTTCAATTACATAGGTACATTTAAATTATCAAAACATAAAGAAAAAATAAGCATAGTAAGAGTTCTGGTGCCAGGTGCCATGAACAAGTTCTCTCTAGCTCTTACAGCAGCCTTATTAGGTATGAATTATTGTTCCATTTAACAGGGGAGGACGCTGAATCTCAGATCACCTAAGAAAGTCCGGGGTCACATGGTTTGTTCATTTAATGCTAGTGCCTGAATGTCTCCCGTTAAACCACACGCTCATGGGACCACTGCAGCCAAGACAAAGAAAGGGACAAATTGGAGGGCTCGGGTTAGGGAAAAGGATCATCTCCTGCAGCCTCAGAGACCCCTGCTTCAGCCTCCGGGTCCCTCGAACTTTCTGAATCTTTTATGTTTTGGATGTATCTCTTGTAAACCCCAGCGAGTTTGTCCTGTCTCCATTCTGACAATTTGTACCTTTGGTTGGGAGCATTTAGTCCATTTACATTTAATGTAATTATAAATATATTTGGGATTAAATCTACTCTCCTTTCTATTGGTTCCATCTCCCGGCTCTAGCACTTTCTAGCTGTGTGCTCCTTCCTAGCTGCTTTTCCCCAAGTCTCAGTTTCTCTGGCTGTCCAGTGTGTAAAATGTCACACAGCTTATTGTGAAACTTCAGTGAGCTAAGCGATGCCAAGTGCACCGGCCAGGGCTTGGCACAGAGAAGAGGCTCGAAGTTCCCCTCTCCTCTCCGGCCTTTGCTTCTCTGCATCCCGGAAGAATGAGCAGCCCTGGATGGAAGCAGCTCAAGAGCCTGGCTGCACAGCTGGGCCTGACCGTAGAAACCCTTCCCAGAAGGAGTCCCTCTGCTGTGAGCTGTTCCCAGGTTGCAGCCAGGCCGTAGCATCATCGATGACGGTGACGGACAGCACCGCCTCAGTCTGGGAAGTGGGAGGCTGTTGGGAAATCCTGCTAAAAGGCGAAAGGGGAGTGGGTTGTATTGATCAGTGTCCCAGGGGAGCCTGGGGAAGTGGGGGGGGGGAATTCCCCAAATATGGCATGTGTCCCCAGCCCGGCCAGGAAAGGGGGCCTGACCAGTGAGCGACAGCCTCCCCTCCTGGGAGGCAGGTGCGTCCTCTTGGAGAGCAGAGCAGTGACTCACCAGACTGCCACAGCTCTTTATAAATATCCCCTGAGACACCTAACTCCCTCGGCCCTGATTCTATATTAGCACAAGCAGCGCTCCATAATTCCATAATTAATTAGGTTTCCTAGGCACCCTGAGACTGGGAGAGGGTGTCCCAACCTGTGGACACAAATATTACAAACTACATGTGAACTGAAAGATAAGTTCTCTTTCTCTCTCCTATCTGTTCATTTACAGAGCAGCATTGTGGAAATTTCGAGAAGTGAGGGCCGGCCAAATGTCCCCTATTTGAATAATTCTAAAATGTTCCGATGGGCCCAGTAACCCAAACCAACCCCCTTCTCATTTACGTAACCCATTTGGGGAAATTGAGGCTGGGGGTCGGGAGGAAGCACCTAGATCTCAGAATATGGCGAACAGTGGCTGAGTGGTAACCCAGGGTTCCTGCCTCCCCCTTGCTTCAACTCTCAGGGTCTTGGCTGCCTCACTTGTGCACAAAGGTACCAGTTCCTGCTCTGAAGACTGTCAGGGCACTGAATGCAAGAGAGGGCGAAGGGGCCCGTGTTGTGGCAGCCTAGCACATGGAGGGGCTAAAGGACCTAGGGTCCCCTTATCTGGTCCCTCCTCCTAATTTTTTCCTTCCAGACCAATGCCTTTCTCTGCTTCCTTCTATTACACCTGGCAGTCGATGGGCACAAAAGTCTTGATAAAATGATTAAAGGAGGCGCCTGGGTGGCTGGGTTGGTTGAGCGTCCAACTTCAGCTCAGGTCATGATCTCACAGTTCTCTGAGTTCGAACCCCACATCAGGCTCTGTGCTGTCAGCATGGAGCCCGCTTCGGATCCTCTGTCTCCCTCTCTCTCTGCCCCTACCCCGCTGGGGCATGTACATTCTCTCTCTCTCAAAAATAAATAAACACCAAAAAAATTAAAAACAAAAAGTGGCTGGGGCAACCCAGGAGCTACATTTTTAATTTAACTTAATATGATTTTAAATAAAAAAATTGATAACTCAGTTTTCAGAAAACTTTTAAGAATGTTTGGAACAATCTGGGTACGTGAATCTACTTTTTCAACTGTAAATTTTGTGGAAATCTACAGATCAAATACTTCTTTTTTTAATCTTATTTTTTTTAGCGTTTTTATTTATTTTTGAGAGAGACAGAGCATGAGCGGGGGAGGGGTGGTGGTGGGAGGGAGTGGCACAGAGAGAGAGGGAGACACAGAATCTGAAGCAGGCTCCAGGCTCTGAGCTGTCACCACAGAGCCTGATGCAGAGCTTAAAACAGTTCTCTAAGAGGGGCGTCTGGGTGGCTCAGTCGGTTAAGTGTCCGACTTCGACTCAGGTCACAGTTCTTGGATTCGAGCCCTGCATTGGGCTCTGTGGTGACATTGCAGAGGCTGGAGCCTGCTTCAGATCTGTGTCTACCTCTCTCTGCCCCTCCCCTGCTGGCGCTCTCTCTGTCTCTCTCAAAAATAAATAAACATTTAAAATTTTTAAAAACTTGGGGCGCCTGGGTGACTCGGTTAAGCGTCCGACTTTGGCTCAGGTCATCATCTCGTGGCTCGTGAGTTTGAGCCCCTCACTGGGCTCTGTGCTGACAGCTCAGAGCCTGGAGCCTGCTTCGGATTCTGTGTCCCTCTCTCTCTGCCCCTCCCCTGCTCATGCTCTGTCTCTGTCTCTCTGTCTCTCTCTCTCAAGAACAAATAAACATTTAAAAAATTAAAATAAAAATAAATAAATAAATAATAAAAAAATTGTTTACATTAAAAAAAAAAAAAGTTCTCTAAGAGATCTTGTTCTCAGAGAAGAGGAAACTGGTGCTCAGAGGGATAAGTGGTGGGATTTGGGAGCCTATGTGTTTGGTTAGAAGCCCTTGGCTTCTAGGTTCACAACTGGCACCCATCCCATTACATCTTCCTGAGAGTTTTTCCAAGGACCCTAGTGTGGGTGGGCCCATGAGTGAGCCACTCACTGTGATGGGCAGGGCCGGCGGGTGGAGAGGAGGTGGGGAGATGGAGAGAAGAGGCAGGGGAAACTGGGGCTCCTGTGATCACAGGGACCATCCCGGTGGGAGCCACGCAAGGTCCAAGGCCACAGGACAAAAGGGAGGGACAAGGGCTGAGCTGATGGGCTTTCCGTTTCATTAGATCGGCTGTTCTATCTCTGCCTTACTTTGCAAAGGATCTCAGGAGCGGCTGCTGCTGTCTCAAGGAAAGAATCGGCAGGGCTGGTAAAGCCTTAGATTAACAGGCCCCAAAGGGGACAAATAATGGCACCACACGGGGACAGCCAGGGACCTGGTCATGTCCCAGTGTAAGAAAAAGGAAATGGGGACGCTCTGCTTCCAACACGGCACATTGCACCTTCTTCCTTTCTCATTTCAAACGAGCGGATTCTCCATCCTAATGTACAAGACCCTGCTTTCCAACCGGCTGCCCCACGTCTTGGCCACCAGGAATAGAGGCAGTCCCTGTCCCTGTGCATTCCTTCTCTGCAGTGTCCTGAAACTACCCTCTGCTCCCCGTCCCAGCAGCCCCCCAGGACCCAGCCCAGGCCTCCCTGAGGGCAAGAGCACCATGCATGGGGTCCAGAGGCCCTGCCTCTCCTTGGGCCTGCCCCCGTCAGCCTGGGAAGGCCTCAGCGGGCCTCTGTCTGCCCGGCCAGTGAGGGCGCTACCCTGCTGGCTCTTGGAGGCCAGGGCCGGCCTGCCTGGCAGGGCACTGTCTGCGGCCAGCCGCCCACCGACTTCCCACTTCCAGATGCCTCGGAGCGCGCCGGGCGGCCCTGTCCTGACGTGCCCCTTCCCCTCTGCTGCCCCGCCGCGAGCTTCGCTTAGAGGCGGCCAGATGTGCCGGCTTTGGTGCCGGCGGCCCCTAACAAGGTCCAGATGTGCGGCCTGGCCTGGGCCAGTGGCGGCTACCAAAGGAGAGGGAGGCCCTGGGAGGGAGGAGCCAGGCTGCAGCTGGATGCGGCCGTGCAGAGGAGGAATGCGCTGGGAAGGATTCCCACTGGAATGCGAGCTTGGGATGTCTCTGCCTAAATAAGGGCCTGGCCTCTCCTGGAGCTGGAGGCCCCAGCAAGTCTAGGTGCAGCCGCGCTGTGGACGCGCCTCCCTGGCTGTCCCAGGATCTGTGGCAATTTTTTCCCTCTTCTTCCTTTCCTCTCCTCTCCTTTCCTCTCCTCTCCTCTCCTCTCCTCTCCTCTCCTCTCCTCTCCTCTCCTCTCTCCTCTCTTTTTTCTTTCTTCTTCGTCTTCTTTTTGGCTAACTTTAAAAGTTATACATAGTGATTAAAAGCAGTTAAGAAACCCAAATAAGCTAGGGGCGCCTGGGTGGCTCAGTCGGTTGAGCATCCGACTTCGGCTCAGGTCATGATCTGACAGTTCATGAGTTCGAGTCCTGCGTCAGGATCTGTGCTGACAGCTCAGAGCCTGGAGCGCGCTTCGGATTCTGTCTCCCCCCTCTCTCTGACCCTCCCCCTCTTACACTGTCTCTCTTTCTCTCTCTCTCAAAAACAAGCATTAAAAAAAAAAAATTAAATTAATTAGTTAATTAATTAATTAAAAAAAGAAAGAAACCCAAATAAGCTAAAAGATGAAAACAAAAGGTAAAAATAAAAATCACCTAATAATTCCAGCACCCCAACCACTGTTAAAGTTCTGGAATGTGTCCTGCTAGACTTTTTTTTTTTTTTTTTTTTCCAAATACAAATATGTACATAGGTTGGTTAGTTTCAATCATGCTGCGGAGATTCTCAGAACCTGTGCTTTTCACTCAGCCCTTTATTCGTGAGTCGGCTATCACAGTGTTTCCCAAACTGGTCCCACGGAACCCCAGAGCCATTTTGCTATTGAGAGCAGAGTCCTTCCCCACCTGTTTGGGAGGTACTGACTTATGCCAACTGAAATGGGCTTCTTTCCTGGAGAATTTCTCAGAGTCTTTAATTTACTAATGTACATTGTGAATCATCAAGAGGAGCCTGGCATTTCCTAAACATATTTCACTATGAAATCCCTTGAGGAATCTTCTTGAGGCTTGGGTCCGTGGAACATCATACAGGAAATGCTGTTCTGCAACATTCTTCATAGGGCTGCAGAGAACACAACAGTTTATCTCAATATCCCTTCAATTTATCGCTATTCCAAATAATTCTGCGATGACCGTCCTCATACTCCTCCTTTGTTATACAGAAACATTCCAAGCAGTAGGACTGTTGGCCACATGAAAGACCATGTTTGGGGCGCCTGGGTGGCCCAGTCGGTCGAGCGTCAACTCTTGCTTTCGGCTCGGGTCATGATCTCATAGTTCGTGGGTTTGAGCCCCACGCTGGGCTCTGCGCTACGTCAGCGGGGAGCCTGACACAGCGCTGGGCCTGCTCAGAATTCTCTCTCTCTGCCCCTCCCCCACTCATTCTCTCCCTCCCTCTCTCTCTCCCTTTCTCAAAAAAAAAAAAAAAAAAGAAAGAAAAAGAAAATCTAAGCCAAGATCGGGATCCCAGAAGAATGCCCAAAGACACAGGCACCTGGCAAAGGTGTGCCTTCTGTGTCAGCAGTTGATGCGTGGACTGCCTGATCGTCCTGACCGAGAGAAATGGTCCCGGCAGACCCAGCGTGAACACAGTCCAGTGGGGGCGGCTGCTTTCTGCAACCTTCTATCAGCACCGGATCCTCCCGCTACCCAATAAGTCTGCCTCCCACAGGGCCGATGGCTTGCTGGGAACTAACAGGTCCGCTCTCCCTTACTCGCAGTTTCAAAATCCCCAAACTGCTGAAATCTGTATGATAAAGCCATTTTTATCATAAGTCGTTTTACTACAAAGCAAAGCCTGACCTGACGTGAACTCATTTGGCAGCAAAACGAGCCTCCACTGATGTGAGGCCATTTACGGCTTCTCTTTCCACCACTTAGTGTGTGAATGTTGGCGGACTTGGCTCAGAACTGTTTATATGTTTACCAGGTACTGCCCCACACCCTGCTGGGGGTATTTTGTAACATACAGTGTTAAGGGAATCCATCATGGCACTTTTCTTTCTTTCGTGTTTTTTTTTTTTTTTTTTTTTTTTTATTGTTGAGACAGAGAGAGACAGAGCATGAACGGGGGAGGGGCAGAGAGAGAGAGGGAGACACCGAATCGGAAACAGGCTCCAGGCTCTGAGCCATCAGCCCAGAGCCCGACGCGGGGCTCGAACTCACGGACCGCGAGATCGTGACCTGGCTGAAGTCGGATGCTTAACCGACTGCGCCACCCAGGCGCCCCTCGTTTTTTTTTTTTTTAAGTGTATTTATTTATTTTGAGAGAGACAGAGACGGCGCAGGGCCGGGGTGGGGGCGGGGGGGTGGTGAGTGGTGCAGACAGAGAGATTCCCAAACAGGCTCCGCACTACCAGCACAGGGCCTGATGTGGGGCTCGAACCCATGAAGCCGTGAGATCACAACCTGAGCTGAAACCAAGAGTCGGATGCTTAATCCATTGAGCCACCCAGGTGCCCCTCATGACACCTTTCTAAACCATGAAAAATTCTGAATTCTGAACCATCTGGCCCCAATGGTTTTAGGTAAAGGATTATAGATCTGTATTTACAAAATTTTCCCTAAAAAAGTGTCGTCGGCTTACAAGTAAAAGGAGGAGCCAGACACAGACACAGATAGGATACGATCCTGTTTCTATGAAGTTCACGAACAGGCAGAGCAAACGGACAGTGGTAGAAATCAGAGTATCAATTACCTCTGGGGAGGAGAATAGACCAGGAGGGAGCACGAGGGAACCTTGCAGGGTGCTGGAAATGTCCTGTATCCTGATCCGGGTGGAGATTACACAGGTACCTACGTACGTAAAAATTCACCAAGCTGTACATTAAAGTGTACTGCACTTTGCTCTAAGTCGGTTACACCTCAAAACAAAAGTAAAAGTAAAGATTATGGGAATCTGTTATCTCAAATTAAGCAATAAACGGCTCCCCATGGCACCCCATCCCACCCTGTGATGCTTTTGAACTTCCCAACAAAACTTAAAGTCGTCGTCACATATGTCTGGCTCATCTTTAATCCCAAGAAACAAGTTTAATGCAAAAGTCAAATTTAGTGAACAGGTAAAAAACTCTGATTTGCCCTCCCAAAGAACCCATCCCCAGAGTGTATCTGCGCTTTAAAAGTGCCGCAGGAAACCACTCGGGGCCTGGCTCCCTTGCGTGACACCGCTCTCATCAGCCACCGGGGGGATGTTTCCCGGCCCTGCTGCCTCCAGCAACGGCTGCTGAAACAGCCAGCGGGTGGTGAGCGCGGACCCAGGCCTGGCATCCTACCCACAGTGCTGCAAGTCAGAACTTGCGCCCGACCAACAATATCCCTTAATTGCATCTGATTAGCTGGAATTTGGAATTTGTATCTGAGAACTGAAGGGCACCGGGGACTCCTTGATTAAACAGGTCAGATAAGCATATATTGTTGAGAGGAACAAGCTTCTTTCCCGAAGCTTGCTCGTTGCTCAACATCGGACAGCTCATGGCCTTGTCCTTTGACCCTCACTCCCATGACATGCCCACCTCCGCTTTCCCGCCCACTTCCTTTCTGTGCTCCACTGGGGGGAGGTCAGTGCTCCACTGGGGCCTGGCTTCTCTCTGCTACTCCACTCATGACTCAGCCCACATGTCAACCTTCCCATCTCCGGCCAGAGGGCACCGTTCTGATGGCCTCGGGCTGTCCTCGGCAGCCTCTGATCCTTTCAGGAACAAGTCAGGATATAAACAAACAAACTGACCCACTTGGGCTTTTCCCTAATCTTTCTAGAGCATGCTGTCCAAATCAAGAGCCTGTGCTGATGGAAACATTCTATATCTGCGTTCTCCAACTCGATAGCCACTAGCTACCTGTGGCTATTGAAACAGCACCCCGGTTATGGCTAAGTACAACTTAGGAACTGAAATATATATATATATATACACACACACACACACACACACACACACATATATATATATACACACATATATACATATATATAATATATTTCTGATGTTGCATTCAGTTGTATTTTATTTTTTATTTTTATTTTTTAAAGTTTATTTATTTATTTGAGAGCAGGGAAGGGGCAGAGAGAGAGAGGGAGAGAGAGAATCCTAAGCAGGCTCCACGTTGTCAGCACAGAGCCTGACTTGGAGCTCAGTCTCTCTCATGAACAGTGAGATCATGACCTGAGCCGAAACCAAGAGTCGGACACTTAACTGACTGAGCCACCCAGGCGCCCCTCTTCTTTTCTTCCTTTCTCTCTCTCTCTCCTTTTTATCCTTAGCTCCAAGCCCAAGGTGGGGTTTGCACTCACTACCTAGAGATCAAGAAGTACATGTTTTACTGACTGCACCAGCCAGGCCCCCCCACCTTTTTGTATTTAAAGAAACGTCACCAGGGGCGCCTGGGTGGCTCAGTCAGTTAAGCGTCCGACTTCGGCTCAGGTCACGATCTCACGGTTCGTGAGTTCGAGCCCCGAGTCAGGCTCTGTGCTGACAGCTTGGAGCCCGGAGCCTGCTTCAGATTCTGTGTCTCCCTCTCTCTCTCTGCCCCTCCCTCACTCACGCTCTGTCTCTGCCTCTCTCAAAAATAAACAAACATTAAAACATAAATAAATAAATAAAATTTTTAAATGCAGGGCCAAACTCATTACTTTCAATCCAAGGAATGCAGATCAAGCTGGAGGAAACTTAGCGGTGGTGCGCCATGGGGTTGGTTTTGACCGGCTCATCTCGGTGTTTGTATTAGACGCTCCAATAAAGATGTGCGGGTCTGGTAATCAAACACAGAGAGCGTGTTATGTTCTGAGAAGTCTGGCATACACATAACCAAGATTTAAACTATTGTGACAGGCAGGAGTGACACAACTACAAAATTAGCTTCTTTTCATCGGACACCTCAACAGACCACACACGGTGCTAAGTGCCTTTCTGTATCATTTAATTGTTGCCCCTCCGTGAGATCAGAAATCGTGACCCCGTTTACAGATGAGGAAAGTGAGACTCAGAGGGGCTAAGTCACTTACCCACTCTGAGCTTCCATTCAAAAGAACCTGACCCCGGAGTTCATACCCTTTCCACCATGCTCTGCCATCTCCTACTCGGTTACGCCAACAAAATGAACACGAAAGGGGTAAGTGACCTTGATACCACGCATGGTAAAGCTAGAGGAGACCTGGTTCTAATGTTCATGACGTCAAAATCTTGGCATTGCTGCTGAACTCAGACAGCGGCAATATAACTCCTGAAAAAGCTCACATGACCTCGGGCTCTACCACAAAGCACAGTGACCACATTGAGGGAGCCAGCTACCCTTCTGTGCACCCCACCAGTCAGTGACATCGAGAAGGTGGGACCAGTTCCAAATAGCAGGCTTTTTAAACAGCTTTCTTGAGGTATCGTTGACATACAATAAACCGTGTGTGTTTAAAATTTTTTTTTCAACGTTTTTTTTTTTAATTTATTTTTGGGACAGAGAGAGACAGAGCATGAACGGGGGAGGGGCAGAGAGAGAGGGAGACACAGAATCAGAAACAGGCTCCAGGCTCTGAGCCATCAGCCCAGAGCCTGACGCGGGGCTCAAACTCACGGACCGCGAGATCGTGACCTGGCTGAAGTCGGACGCTTAACCGACTGAGCCACCCAGGCGCCCCTAAACCGTGTGTGTTTAAAGTATACAATTTGAGGGGCGCCTGGCTGGCTCGGTCGGTAGAGCGTGTGACTCTTGATCTCAGGGTCATGAGTTCCAGCCCCACATTGGGTGTGGAGCCTACTTTTAAAATGATAAATAAATATAGGGGCGCCTGGGTGGCGCAGTCGGTTAAGCGACCAACTCTTGATGTCGGCTCGGGTCACGATCCCATGGTTCGTGGGTTCAAGCCCCATGTTGGGCTCTGCGCTGACAGCACAGGGCCTGCTTGGGATCCTCTCTCCCTGTCTCTCTCTCAAAATAAATAACTTTTAAAAATTAAAAAATAAAAATAATAAAGTATACAATTTGATAAGTTTTGACATATGTATAAACCTGTACAAGCATCATCCCACAGAGCTTCCTTGTGCACTTTGTTTTTTGGTTTTCTGTTTCAATTTTTTTTTTTTTTAATGTTTATTCATTTTTTGAGAGAGAGACAGACAGACAGAGCTCGAGTGGGGCAGGGGCAGAGAGAGAGAGGAAGACACAGACTCCAAAGCAGGCTCCAGGCTCTGAGCTGTCAGCACAGAGCCCGATGCAGGGATTGAACTTGTGAACTTCGAGATCATGACCTGAGCCGAAGTCGGACGCTTAATGGACAGAGCCAGCCAGGAGCCCCGGACAAACGCTTTAATTTATTCTGGGTAAATAGCTTGGGAGTTGAATGGCTAGCCTGTATGTTTCACTTTTTAAAAAACCTGCCAGTTCTTTTCCAAAGTACCTGTCTCATTTTATGTTCCCAGTGCAAACCCAGCTGGAGAGTTTCAGGTGCTCCCCATCCTTGCCAGTACTGGTAGGGCCTGTCTTTTAATTTGAGCCATTCTAATAAGTGTGTAGGGGTCAGACATCACTTTTTTTTTTTCTTAATTTTTTTTTAACGTTTATTTATTTTTGAGACAGAGAGAGAGCATGAACAGGGGAGGGGCAGAGAGAGGGAGACACAGAATCTGAAACAGGCTCCAGGCTCCGAGCTGTCAGCACAGAGCCCGACGCAGGGCTCGAACTCACGGACCGTGAGATCATGACCTGAGCCGAAGTCGGATGCTTAACCGACCAAGCCACCCAGGCGCCCCCAGACATCACTTTTTAAAAGGGTAATATTACAGGGACGTCTGGCTGGCTCAGTCGGCGGAGCATGAGACTTGATCCTGGGGTGGTGAGTTCGAGCGCCAAGGTGGGTGTGGAGCTTACTTAAAAAAAGAGGGGCGGGGGGCGATATTACAAACCAAAAAATATATGGAAGAAAAAGTTGGAGGGGAAGGATCTGGACCCAGGACCCACAGGGAGCTGGGAGTATTTGGTTTGGAGACAGATGAGTATCTTAAGTATCTGTAAAAGGGACTAAATTTCTATGTTGTTTTAGAAGATGCACTAGAACCCGAGGGAAAAGTCACCGGCAAACAGACCTTGCTTCAGCTGAGAACCTTTTGATACAGGCTCTCAAAGGCAGAATGAGTGTTTGAGGAAGTGGGGTCTCTGCCCTTAGAAGGATCAGGCAGCAGTATTTGGAGAATTCCTCTCTCAGGGATGGTCAATTCAATACAGTTCATGTCGGCTGAGTACCTACTATGCACTGTGACGGGACGTGGCGAGAGGACACAAGAGCAGATGTTCTCATGTCTTTGCCTAAATATTATCATGTGATTAGGGTTCTGCCAAAGCTATGGGCAAGGGGGATAGGAGGGAGAAGGAGGTGGAACTGCCCAGAGGGGGTGACCCTGGGTCTCCGAACTCCTGTCGGAGGCTCCGAGAGAATACCTAAGTAGGGGACCGCCTGGGTGGCTCAGTCGGTTAAGCATCTGACTTCGGCTCGGGTCATGATCTCGAGGTTCATGAGCTCGAACCCCGTTTTGGAATAACATTCAGCTGAAATGCAATCTGGAGCATTCTTTCCATATGATACGGGAATGCTCTCCAAGAGCTATTGAGTGGAAAAAGCAAGGTCTAGACACCGTGTATGGCAAACTAGCAGCTGAATTTTTTAAAGGGGGTTTGGTGAGTTAAGAACACACACACAGGGTTCATTTGCATAATATCTTATACCTCTCGCCTAGTAACATAGGTTGCTTTTCAGACAGGAAGTGGCTGGGAGACAGGTGTGGGAAAGAAAGTGTCTGACATACCTTTCTGCATCTTTAGAATCTTAACGGTGTAAGTGAATTGCCTATTAAAAATAAAACTAAAATTAAACTAAAAACGTTAAAGGCACCTGCCTATTTCAGCATGTTTTCCTGGAGTGCCTTCCTCAGCCTTTTCCTCTGCGTTCACTTCCTTCCATTGAGGTTTGTGGGCAAGTCTTCCTCTCCGAGGAGGCCGCCGTGGGGAGCTTATATTTCTTTCTGCCTCTCTCCCCAAGGAATGCATCATCAAGACCGATTTTTCTTAAACATTAATGTCTGTTAATGTAATCAGCTTGGTATCTTGTAAAAATTCAGACTCTGATTCAGTAGCCTACGATGGGCACTGAGGTCTGCATTTCTTTTTTTTTTTTTTCTTTTTCTTTTTTTTAGATGTTTTATTTTATTTTTGAGAGACAGAGCATAAATGGGGGAGGGGCAGAGAGAGAGGGGGACACAGAATCTGAAGCAGGCTCCATCCAGGCTCTGAGCTGTCAGCACGGAGCCCGATGCGGGGCTTGAACTCACAGACCGTCAGTTGATGACCCGAGCTGAAGTTGGACACCCAACTGACTGAGCCACCCAGGTGCCTCCGAGAGTCTGCATTTCTAACCAGCTCCCGGGTGGAGCTAATGTTGCTGGTCTCAGACTACACTCTGAGCAGGGAGGGTCTAGAGCTCTGTGTGTTCCATGCTGAGGCTCATGGCCAAAGCACTGAGAGGTCTCGAGAAGCTGTCCTGCTCTAGAGAAGAGGAAGGGATAGGATGGTGGCGATTCTCATGAAGAGAGAGGCACGTCGATCCTCGGGCTGGTCTGAGCCCCTTAGTTAGCATTGCTGCCAGAGTAGGGACCACTGACCATCACCCCGGGTCTCCATTCCTACCCACCACTCTCTTGCCTGGAGCACAGACACACTTCCATACTGCCTCCATTGAAGGGAGGCCCAGATAGCAGGTGCCTCAGAGGGAGCTGTAGGAGATGCACCAACCAGAAAAATAAATGCCTGCCTGCCTTCCTTCCTTCCTTCCTTCCTTCCTTCCTTCTTTCTTTCATAAACTCTACCTCCAACATGGGGCTCGAACTCACAAACCCCAAGATCAAGAGTCACATTCCTATTTCTGATGGACTAATGGTGGCTGCAGGCCACACCCTCTCTCATGCCCTCCCTGAAAATTCAGAAGCCAAATCAAACCTCCTACAGAAAATGAAACCAGACAGCATTCAGCACAGGCTTTCTCCCTGGGTGACACACAGATGTCTTGGATTCAGGTGTGGCGGGACCACCTGCTCTGGCAGAAAGCGGATCGCCCTCCAACCGAGGCCTCTTCGCTTGCCCAGGATGAGAACTGACCCGTGAACCTGGAAGCCAGGCTGCTGAACGCCCCCACCGCACCCCTTGCCCCAGGGGACAGGGTAGCTTCCTAGGCCACACACGTGGGTTTCCCTGATGAGGCAGTTTTCGGTATGACAAAACCCTGCTCTTGCCATTGCCAGAGAGGGAGGAGGATGGTGTAAGTTCTGGAGGGAAACCAACAGGCGCATTCCCGCGGGGCAGACCCCACCCCTGACTGGAGCGGTGCCCCCCTCACCCCGGTGATCACTGGAGAAATGTCAGGGGAGGCACCCCCTCTCCCCATATCATCCCCACCCACCCGTGACCCTGCCTGAAATTGCACCATGCACGTTCATTCTTTTAGGATGAGAAACTGCATCTTTTAAAATACTCCCACCCACCAGACAGGTAATACATTCAGCTGTTATCAGTCATCTACACCTTAATGTGAATTAGTTGATTAGTCCTGGAATGTTTCACCTGGAATGCGCCTGGTCCAATCCCTCTTCTTACAAGTGAGGGAAACCAAAGCCCAGAGTGGAGGTGACCCACTGAAGGTCAAGCAACAAGGTGGTGGCCAAGTCATGGCAGGGAAGGGGCGTAAGGGAAGGATTGTATGCAGCTGGCAGGGGAAGAGGAAAAACCCCAGGATCACCGAGAGGGGCAGAGGCATCGTCAAGGTTGTGCTTTATACACTAATTCAGAGCTGTGTCAACCTTTCCCCCCCACGAGAAGGTAGGAGGTGGAACCAGAAGCGTGTCTCCACCCCACCCCACCCCACCCTTGAACATAAAACTTCTTTGAAGTTTCTGGTTTTATCTCAGAGTTCATTCAGATGCAACATTCTACTCTAAAGTATATTCTGGTTTGTTTTCACATAAAAATAATAGAGAGAATAAACCGGTGGTTGCCAGAGGAGAGGTTAGAGGGGAAGGGGATTAAAAGGTACAAACTTCCAGTTATAAAATAAATTCGAAAGATTTTTTTTTTAATTTTTTAATGTTTATTTATTTTTGAGACAGAGAGAGACAGAGCATGAATGGGGGAGGGTCAGAGACAGAGGCAGACACAGAATCCGAAGCAGGCTCCAGGCTCCGAGCTGTTGGCACGGAGCCCGACGCGGGGCTCGAACTCACAGACCGTGAGATCATGACCTGAGCCGAAGTCAGAGGCTCAACCGACTGAGCCACCCAGGCGCCCCTAGAAAGATTTTTAAACGCAAAATATTCTTTCTTATTTTTTAACGTTTTATTTATTTTTGAGAGAAGGAAAAAGAATGAGCGGGGGAGGGGCAGAGAC